AAACATAGGAACTCCAAATACTATATAAAATAGAATAAATTCTCCCATTTTTTCTTATTTCTTTCCATTCACTGTTACTTTCCTTTAATGTATGCTATAATAACCTAACTGTCCTCCTTCCCACTCATCTTTTCATAGTCTAATTTGTCTTCGACATCTGTTGGATTCATTTTCTTTTCTTTTCTTTTCTTTCTTTTTTTTAAAAATGTTTTTGCCATAAGGCACGTGTGTTTGACAGAGGAAAAGTGAGAAATCCCTCCCCCAAAAGGGGATGTTCACACTGCAGTCCCTTCTCCATTCTCCTCCGAGGATCTTGGGCATGCAGGTACACATGTCTTCTGTGAGTTTCAAGCTGGCAGGTCCAGGGCTCAAACTGGCTGACAATGTGGGAGTCCAGCACCTCAACCTCCATAGCACCTACTGGCCCCCGGATCCCTTTTCTAAAACACAGATGTGATACTATGTTATGTTCCTGCTTAAAATGCTCTAACTTCAAAATTATTCTTAGTAAAATTCTTCACAACCAGCCCACTTTCTAGTCCCTTATCTGAATTCTTTCCTTCTATACCTTTGGGTAGTGAATATACTGTTTGAATTTTCTTGACCTCCCACTTTTTTTTCTTATTTATTCCTTCTGATAGAAATTCTCCATCAGTCCATTTGTTTAATTGGAAAACTCCTTCTAGTTTTTTTTCCTAAAGAATTATTTTTAAAATCTTATTATTTTTAAAAATTTGATGAGAGAAACAGAGGAGAAATGAGAAAGCAAGCCACCAGATCCAGGACTTGGACTGTGGTCTGTCATATGGGAGTTCAGCGCCTCAACCACCACACCATCTGCCAGCCCCAAAAAAAAAAGAAAGAAAGAAATCACACACACACAAAAGAATTATTTTATTTTATTTATTATTTTTAAATTTGCTGTAGGGCCCATGGGCTTATGAGAGAGAAAGAGAGAGAGAAAGTCACTAGGTTTAGGACTTGAACTATGGTTGACCATGTGAGAGTCCAGTGCCACAACCACTCTGCCATCCGCTAGCCCTGCTACTGGATTTTTTTTTTTTTTTGAGAGATTTTCACTGTAGGGCGCGTGCGCTCGCCAGACAGACAGAGAGAGACATAGAGACAGAAAGCGAGAAATCACCCCCCAGGGGGGATGGTCACGCCGCAATCCCTTCTCCTCCATTCTCCTCTCGGGATCTTGGGCACGCACGCACACGCGCCCGGCGTGAGTTTTAAGCCTCCGGGTCCGGGACATGAACCGCGGTCGACTACGTGGGAGTCCAGCGATATAGCCATTACGCTAACTGCTGGTTCTCCAGCTACTGGATTTTTTGAAGTTTACCTAAAATCTGTGTTGTAAATTGAGTATTACTTACGTGAAATACTTAGGGCTAGAATTTTTTGGATTTTGGATTTTTTAAAAAATTAGAATATGAGCATATATATATATATATAATAATGTGTTTGGGGATGGAGCCCAAGCCTAAACATAAAGTTTATGTTTCATATACACCTTATATCCATAGCCTGAAGTAATTTTATGCCACATTTTTGTATTGTAACATTTGGCTGTGACCTACTTGAAGTTAGGTGTAGAGTTTTCCACCTATGGTGTCATGTTGGCAATCAAAAGTTTCAGATTTGGGGGGGGGATTTTAAATTTTGGATTTTTGAATTAGGGATGATCAGCTAGTATATCTAGTAGCCTTCTTTGACACCACCTGTGACAGACTTAGCTAATCCTTATCTGCATTCCTGTAACCCTTGATAGAACCCTTATAGAGCTTATCGCAGTGTGCTCTAGTTATTTATTTACATTCCTGTTCCCTTTTCTCTCCCTTTACTGACTCAAGCTACAGGTTATTCCCAGGAGCCTGGCACATTATAGGAATTCAATTAGAAGTTCATTGAGATTAAGGAAGTTATTTTTAGCATCAACATTTAAGATATGATTGGGATGCTTTGTTATATTCCTAGCATGTTGTATGTAGTAATAGGCTTTTTTAAAAAAAAGAATTATTTTATTTAACTTATAATTTATTCATTTATTCATTCACTCATCTATTTATTTATTTATTTTAATTTGACCAGAGAGGGATAGAATGAGTGAGAGAGAGTGAAATCAAGCTGCTAGATCCAAGACTCGAACCGTGGTCGACGATGTGGGAGTCCAGCATCCCTAACCACCATGCTACCTGCTGGCCCCAATAATAGGCTTTGAAACAAAGTGAGAATGAGACTACTTTAATGTGTTATAATTATTAAACACTTTTATACAGTTTTATCCAGTAAAGGCCAATTGGGAGGCCAAGGTGTGATCAAACATGGAATTGTTAGATGTGAGTCTGCTTATTTATCCTGTCTCCAGAACTAGAGAGAAAAGAGTGTAGGAAACAAAAAAGATTGGTAATGGGGCCAGCAGGTGGTGTTTTTGGCTAAGATCACTGGCCTCCCACATGGCTATCTGCAGCTCTAGTCCCTGACCTGGTGGCTTGCTTTCTCACTCCCCCCTCTCCTGTCTCTCTCTGTCCCATTCTGGTCAAATTAAAGTAAATAAATTAAAAAGTTAAATAAAATAATTTTTTTAAAAAAAGATTGGCAACACAATGAGCTGAAATGTTAAAACAGTGAGAAACCATATGAGTGGGAAGGTATTTTAGCATATTGACTTTGAAAGGAGTTTTATTAAACTTGAAGAGGGTTCTATGAATAAAGTATTTTTTAGTGAATTTAACAATTTGGTAGGGAATTTAAAGGACCATAGCTTGTGGTAAATATAATGGTTCTTTACATATTTTCTATTTTTCTAATTTTACTTTATTAATTATTTCAGGCTGTGGCGGTTGGGACTTGATCTGTTTCTCTCCACACAGGGCTTAACCACTGCACTATGGCATGTACATGTGCCTGGTGTGCTGTTTAGCTGGGGTCAGGATTTTAACCAGTTGCCCATGTGGCTTTAACTGCTGCACTACAGGGCTGGACCTTTTTCTAATTTTTAATGAGTATTAGTTCATAGTGTGTTACTAGTTTTGTTCCGTTTATTTTGTGGAGTATTTTCCATTTCTTTTCTCATGAATTCTGTTGCAGTTTTTTCTAAGACCACTGGAATGCACTATAATGCAATATTTTTTGTTTAAAAATGTTTTTCTTTTTTCACATTAACATGAAATATAAACTCCATAAAGTTTTATTGCCACTTTTATTTAAAAACCTTTGTAGTATAATCTGTCCTCAGGCCAGTTACTTTCAGCTGCTATTTTAATTCCTAGAAAGTATTGTTAATTTGTCTTATGGTAAAAGTGTATTTCCAGGAAAATGGAAGATTGACAATTACATTAAGAACTTCTTAATTTCTCTGGTAATTGTAAGTCAAATTAATGCCTATAAAGTTTACCCCCTTGGGGTCAGCAGTTAGCATAATGTTTATGTTGCTGAACTCCCATGTAGTCAGCCACAGTTCGAGTTCCGGACCCTGTGGCTTAAACTTACGCTAGACGCGTGTGCGTGTGCATCCAAGATCCCAAGGGGAGAATGGAGGAGAAGGGATGGCGGTGTGGCCATCCCTCCAGGGGGTGATTTCTCGCTTTCTGTCTCTCTGTCTTTCTCGTGAGCACATGTGCCCTATAGCAAAAACCTCTCAAAAAAAAAAAAAAAGTTATTCCCCTCCCCCCCAATAATCAATGTTATTACAAATATTTTGAAATAGACTAGGAAACATTTAGTTATGGTAAAATCTTTGTGATTAAGGATACATTGGGAGTAGAGAAAAAGATGTTCTAGGTAATTTGTATCAAACAGGTTTACTAAACTTAAAGAAAGGAACTATAGGGACCAGCAATATGTGTAATGGCTATGTCGCTGCTGGACTCCCACATAGTTGACCACAGTTTGAGTCCTGGACCTGATGGCTTAAACTCACGTCAGGCGTGTGTACATGAGTGCTCAAGATCCTGAGAGGAGAAGGGATTGCGACGTGGCCATACCCCCTAGGGGGAGATTTCTTGCTTTCTGTCTCTCTGTCTTTCTGGCGAAAGCACGCGCCCTATACCTCTAAAAAAAAAAAAAAAAAAAAAAGGACAAGGAACTATATATTATGTATCAATAGTTAATTAATTAAATAACAACAGAAATTTCTCTTTTGCCTCAGCTGAAATGAGTCCATTTTTCTTTCCAAAGAAATATTAACTGATATCTTATTTATCAAATCCTTCCAAATATTCTATGCTTATATATAATTTTTTTAAATGCTCTTAATGCAGGGCTAGCAGGTGGCATAGTATTTAAAGTGCTGGACTCCCACGTGGCTCACCATAGTTTGAGTCCCTGATTTCGCAGCTTGAGAATCACCGCTAGCACCTGTGCTTGTGTTTCCAAAAATCCCAAAAGGAGGGGACCAACATGTGGTGTGGTGGTTAAGGCACTGGACATTCCCACATAGCCAACCACGGTTCGAGTCCTGGGCCTGGTGGCTTGCTTTCTCGCATTCTGTCTTTTTTTCACTCTCTGTCTTTCTCTGGTAAATTAAAAAAAAAAAAGAATAAATAAAATTAAAATTAAATAATCAAAAAAAAAATCCCAAAAGGAGATTGGAGGAGAAGGGATGGCATGGCGATTTGGCCATCCTCCCTAGAGGTGATTTCTCACTCTTTCTCATTGTCTGTGTGTGTCTCTCTCTCTCCAGCGAGCAAACATGCCCTATGGCAAAAATATTTAAAAAATAAAAATACACATATGAAAACATATTGTGCATACTCTATTCTAAAAAATTTTTGTGGGTCCAGCAGACGACATTGTGGTTATGTCCTTGGACTCCCATTTGGCCAACAGCTACTTGAGTCCTGGACCCAGTGGTTTTGAAATCACACAGGTGCATGCATGTGCATGCCCAAAATTCTGAGTGAAGAATGGAGGAGAAGGGATTGCTACTCCTATTTTGTATCTTTAAGTTCATCTAAATATGTTTTTAAGATTGCATTTTCTCATTTCTTTGTTAGAGCCAAATACCACAAGTTGAAATATGGGACAGAATTGAATCAGGGAGATATGAAGCCTCCAAGCTATGATTCTGGTAAGCTAAATTTTAAAGGACATTTAAGTGATTAAAAAAAAGTTAATATCTAGTATTTTCTAGCAACAACATTTATAACTGCTAAGTTAATTTCTAATTATTTGCATGTTAATTATTTTTTATAACTTGTTTTTTGGCACCAATGTTTAATGTGATTGATTATCGTTTCCTACCACCTTCTTTTTCTCTCTATTTCTTTGGTTTCCCATTTTTGGCTTATGTTCTGCAGTTACTGGAAGGATCAGAATTCATGGAGTAACATACACCCACATAACCTTGTCTGGCCAGGTCTGCCCAACATTAGTGGGAACTTTGAGATGTGTAGTTCATGGTGCATCATGTTCATAATATCCTGAGAAAGGGTAGGAGTTAAGGTAGTAAGAGATGTTTTCTTAAAGCACAGGGGAATTCCTAACCTTTAAACCTAATCTGTTAGTTATAGGAAGGTGCAAAACGGAGACTTTCTTACCCATTATCCACAGCTGGTTCTGTAACCAGAACATGTTTTAATAGGTGGAACTTTAAAAAAATCTTTTTGTGTTATTTATATTTTTCTTTCTGTTTTCTCTTCATACTACCAAACAGTACAAAATAGTACTTGTAAACAGTACGATACTGTTACCAAACTCAGTGCTGCTCGCACAAGCTCCACAAGCCAAACCATAAGTACAAAGTGTATTGAAGGAAAGTGCTATGTCCAACACGAGGAGAGTGGGCAGCTCATGCTGAAAAAGCCTGGCTTCCTAAAGGAGTTGCCTACATAACATTTTTTAAAAGTAATTATTTTATTTAACTTCATTTATTATCATTATTATTTTCCAGTTTGATCAGAGGAACAGAGAGAGAGTGAGGAAGTGAGAAAGCAAGCCACCAGGTCTGAGACTTGAACCGTGGTTGACCCTGTGTGAGTCCAGTGCCTTTAACCACCATGCCACTTGCTGGCCCCATCTACATACATTTTTAAGGGCAAAAGTATTGGTAGGGGTCCCAGGTGTGAGTTCAGTTTTGTGATTGGTTCAAGAAGGTATGATTGGGACCAGCAGGTGGCGTGGTGGTTTTTTTTTTTCCCACATGGCCTACCGTGGTTCGAGTTGCTGACCTGGCGGCTTGCTTTCTCACTTTCTCTCTCTCCCTCTCTCTTTCTCCCTCTGTCCTTCTTTGGTCAAATTAAAATAACTAAGTAATAAATAAATAAAGTCAAACAAAATAATTCTTAAAAAAGAAAAGAAAAGAAAGAAGGCATGATCATCTCTTTGGCCTTCTTGATTGGCAGGTTTTAGATAATAAGAGAATAATCGGGTTTCTGGAACCACTCTGCCTGTAGGAATTTGTATGCTCTGCCAATATTTTCCATCCTGCAAAACATCTTTAAGTTTTGAAGTTAAAAATCTTATTTTTCCTTTAACTGGGAGTTTAGAGGTCCTCATTCTTGGCCAGTGTCTCTAAATCACCATAACCAAACTTTGAAGTCTTATCCCTTACTTTGGGTCTTTTTTTTTAAAAAAGAGGTTTTTGTCCTAGGGCATGTGCACTCGCCACAAGAGAGACAGAGACAGTGAGAAGGAAAGTGAGAAATCACCCTCCAGGGGTGATGCCACACTGCAGTCCCTTCTCCATTCTCCTCCCAGGATCCTGGGCATTGATGCACACGCACCCAGAGTGATTTTCAAGCCACTAGGTCCGGACTCGAACTGCAGTCGGCTGTGTGGTAATACCGTGATGTAACCGCTATGCCATCTGTTGACTCTTATTTTGGGTCATTAAAATGTAATTAAACTTTGCTTTCAAGCCCATTAGAAAGTCATTTTACTTTTAGTTCAGTCCTTATTAATTTTCAGTTTGGGAATTTTCATTTTTTTCAACAGAGGGGAAAACTGAGACTTCAGCCCTTTTTTTGAGGGTCCCTTCTTGGTTTCAACATTATGGAATATAGGATATAATTTATTATTAGTAAGTATAGGGAAAAGTGAGAAAAATGGTTCATAAGTTATTACCATGTTTCAGATGGATAGATATTGGGCATAATTCATGTTAAATTCCTCCATCAAATATCTGAGGATATTAACAATTATTTGTATCATTTACTGAAATACCTATCTTGTGTTTGGGGCTTTAGTATGTACATACATACTAAAGAGGGTCTACAGGTGGCTTGATGGTTAAAGCACTGGACTCCCACATGGCCAACTGCAGTTCAAGTCCCAGAGCTGGTGGCTTGCTTTTTCACTTTCTCTTTCTTTCTGTGTCTCTCTCATGAGCCCATGTGCCCTATAGAAAATTAAAATATAAAAATAAATAAAGTTAAATCTTTAAAAAATAGTTATTCTATAAAGGTAGTACTATTCTTATTTTACAAGTGTGTAATTTAAGCTCACCAAAGTAGAGAAACTTTCTTTCCCAAGGTCACACAGCTATTAGATGATGGGATGGGGAGCTGAACCCAGGTGTGTCTGACTCCAGCAGTCATATTCTTCCCATTTTACCACACACCTTCTATATTTGACAATGTATAAAAGAACCTTCCAAAATGAGTTCTAAATGTACTGCCAAATTTATACTTAATTCGATATAGTAATGTATGTATTAATTTATTTCCTCTGCTGAATATTAAATCCTTGAGGATTTAGAGCCTTACCAACTGATTGCCGGAGTTTTTTTTGTTTGTTTGTTTGGTTTTTTTCTGTTTTAGTTTTGTTATAGGGCACATGTGCTGGTGAAAGAGAGAGGGAAAGATAGGGCACATGTTCACTGGAAAGACATAGAGACAGACAGAAAGGGAGAGACAGAGTAAGTGAGAAATCATCCCTAGGGGGTGGCCACACTATAATTTCTCCTCTTCCATTCTCCTTTTGGGATTTTGGCACACATGCACATGCACCTAGTTTCCCCCCTCACCACGCCCGGAGTGAGAAAATGCCTTCTCTGTTGGATGGTCATGCCACCATCCCTTCTCCATTTGTTCCTCAATTTGGAATTTTAGTCATGCATGCACAATTGCCCAGTGTTCTGTTCTGTTCTATTCTTTCCTTTCCTTTCCTTTCCTTTCCTTCTCTTCTCTTCCCTTCCCTTCCCTTCCCTTCCCTTTCCTTTTTCCTTCCTTCCTTCCTTCCTTCCTTCCATAATGCCTTCTCAGTGCATGATACTGTCTTAGGTACTTAGCTCCTATTTAAAAAATAGTCCTACATTTTTTTTTTTTTTTTTTTGAAAAGAGTTTTATTTATTTTCTTTAAATAGGTATTTTTATTCTAGGGCACATGCTCTTGCTGGAGAGACAGAAAGCAAGAAATAACGCCCCCGGGGGGTGATGGCCACACTGCAATCCCTTCTCCTCCAGTCTCCTCTCAGGATCTTGGGCTCACATGCACACACGTCTTTCAAGCATCTAGGTCAGGGGCTTGAACCGTGGTTTGCAATGTGGCAGTCCAGTGCCTTAGCCACTCTCCTGTCTGTCTGTTTTTGGTTTGAAATAAAACACACTGGAACCCAATGTGTTTTTCAAACCACCATTCTGGTCTGGGACTTGGTCTCAACACAGTTGACTACATGGAATCCCACTGACTTAACCACCATGCCATCCATTGCCCTGCTTGATTTTTAATTATTATTATTAAATTATTTGTTAATTTTAAAGAACGAATAGTGAAAACTGCACGGCATGCTTTTACACTGCGCAAATCACTAGATCTCAGCTCTCATGGTGGACTCAGTCTTCTTCAGCCTGCCCTCTCTGTTTGCCTAGATGGGAGGAGGAAAGGGGAGGGGATTATTACCAAGATAAAGGAAGATTTTAGAGTCAAAAAATTTTACCTTAAAAAATTTTAAAACAAGAAAAATTTAAGAAATGAAAAGACAGAGACAGAGATAGAGAGAAGGACATAGAGGCTCTACCAGGGTAAATTCTCAACAGAACATCTTCATTGCCTTATCGCTGAAATCACTGTATCTCAGCTCTCATGGCGGACTCAGTCTCCTTCCGGCCTACCCTTTATGTTTGCCAGGGTAAATTCTCATCAGAACATCTTCATTGCCTTATCATTGAAATCACTGTATTTCAGCTCTCATGGTGGACTCACGAGGAACATCTGAGGTTAAAACAATAATAAATTGTGGGACCAGCAGAATACATAGTAGTTACGTCACTGGACTCCTACATGGCCGACTGCAGTTGTAATCCCAGACCTGGCCTCTTGAAACTCACACTAGCCGCATGTGTGTGTGCCCCCAAAATACCGAGAGGAGACTAGAGGACAAGGGGATTGTAGCATAGCCATACCCTCTGGGAGGTGATTTCTTGCTTTCTGTCTCTGTCTCTCCAGTGAGAGCATGCGCCCGATAGCAGAAATCTCTCTTATAAGAATGAAGTCACATCACTTTTGTACTATTTTTATCCATGCTAAGCTCCCAGTTCTTTCCATGGTTAGTAAATAGTCATCAACTGTCAGATTCATTTTTGTCAATTTCAAAAAGTGAAATTATACAGTCTGTTTTAAGGAACATTTGATAACTGAGCAAGGAAATGTAATTTGGATTATAAAACTCTTGCTTTAATAAAAATTAAACACTGATTAAAAACAAAGTGACATACAAAGGTAAAGATTTAAAAGTAGATAACAGTTGAATTTCTTGGTAATATTAAAAGTATTTGCCATTTGAGTCAAATTGTAGAAAGAGGGACTAGATTTACTCTCCTGCTTGAAACAACTATAAAACAAAATAGATAAACAGTAGTTTTCTTTTTTTTTAGAGAGATTTTTGCTATAGGGCACATGCACTCATCAGAGAGACAGAAAGTGAGAAATCATTCCCCCTCTTCCGGGGGCGGGGGATGGCCACGCCATAATCCCTCCTCTTCCATTCTCCTCTCAGGATTTTGGGCATGCATGCACACGTGCCCAGCATGAGCCTTAAGTCACTGGGTCTAGGACTCGATCCAGAGTCTGTACAATGGTTTATAAAACATTGAACATCTGCTAACAAAGGACAGTGATCCCTGAGCAAAGGGAGGCAAACAGGTGAGCCTTTGTGATTTTCACAGCTACTGCCTTTTGAGAGTTTCCAGACCATAGCATAGGGATGGAGGACAAAAAACAGTATCTGAAGAAATAATGACCCAATTTCATGAAAATTACAAATCCATAGCTCTAAGAAACTCTACAAATCCCAAGCAAGAGAAACACTGGGGAAGTTAACTATTACCAGTAGGCATGTGATAATAAAATTGTTTAGAACCACTGATAAAGACAGCATCTGAAAAGCCTCCAGAGAAAAAGGTCACATTTTGTATAGAGGGAAGAACGCAAGGATGATGACCATACCTCATCAGAAACAATTAGAAGGTACTGTCCTGCCATGATCCATTCTCAGTCTCGGCAGATGTGCACCCGGGATGCAAGAAGATTCCGGGTTGTCAGCCCAAGACCTTTCCCACATAGGTTCAGTTGCATTACTGTTGTACCACTACCTGGCCCTGTGTTGTCATTTAACAACAATAAAAAAAGTATATCCCCAGGGTTGGCAGGTGGAATAGTGGTTATGGTCCTGGACTCCCAGGAGGAGAAAGGATTGCTTTCCCCATTGGAGGGTAGTTTCTCACTTTACCTCTCACTGTCTCTGTCTCACTCTGGCAAGTGCACATGCCCTTGTGGCAAAAACCTTTAAAACAAAAAAAGTATATCCCTTTTGAAGTTCTTCTAAAGTAAACTTACTTTTAGACTTAAAATCGCACTGCGTACTTGTGCATGTGTGCTCATATTCCCAGGAGGAGAAGGGATTGCTTTCCCCATTGGAGGGTAGTTTCTCACTTTACCTCTCACTGTCTCTGTCTCACTCTGGCAAGTGCACATGCCCTTGTGGCAAAAACCTTTAAAACAAAAAAAGTATATCCCTTTTGAAGTTCTTCTAAAGTAAACTTACTTTTAGAGTTAATTCAATTTCCTTCTATTTCCCTCTCCCCATCCCTACCTCTGGTCTACTCTTCTGTTAGTTCTTTGATATATCATAAAACTTGACCTAGTTAATATATAGGTATTTCAGGAGAAAAACAAACATATAAGTTCTGATTCTTTTATTTACATTTCTCTAATTTCCTATCATTGAAGTGATAGGCTATGGAGGAAAAGCCTGGGATTCTTGAGTGAAACAGGATTGCAACACTTGAAACTGTGTTTCTAACTAAAAACTTAAACATTATCCTCTAAAACTTAACTCTCTCATCTCTAAAGTGAGATGAACACCTGTCTTTTAATGTTGTAAACATTAAAAAAGATAACATTTATGTTTTAGTACTGTGTCTGAAACACATTAGCTCAAAATAAATACTTAATTTCAAGTATCATGAAACAAAATTTCCCAGTCTTCCTCCTATCTGTACTTGAACAAGGTCCCATAAAGACCATCAGTTTTTTGTAGTTTGAGCAAAAGCAGATGAAAAAATATTTTTATATTAAAGTCAATCATTGTGTAGTTGGGACTTTTTTAATTTTTAAATTTTGCCATAGGACATGTGTAGGTACCTGACAGAGAGGGGGAAAGTGAGAAATCGCCCCCCTCTGGGAATGGTCAGAGCAGAATCTCTTTCTCCTTCATTCTCTTTTCTAGAGTTTTAGGCATACACACATGCACATGCCTGCTGTCACTGGGTCCAGAGCTCAAACCACCAGCCTTATGGATCCAGCAATAGGCCACCCCTGGAAATTCTTCAGTACAGACTTACCAAGGAGAAAGCTCTTGTTTCATCATCTTCTTGAAAAGATTCAGTTTTTTGTTTGTTTGTTTGTTTGTTTAGAATTCAGCTTTTTACCTAACAATGAATTTCAGCTTTTACCTAACAATGAATTTTAGCTTTAAAAGACTTAGGAAGTCTTTATTCAAAAAATGCCATTAAAGTGCCAGCAGGTGGTGTGGTGGTGAAGGTGTTGGACTCCTACTCGCCCAGCTGTGGTTAGTCTCCAACCTGGGGACCATTAAAAGAATACTTGAGATTTCCAGTTAATAGCTAGTGAAGGAAACAAATTTGGATTGAGATTAATTATTGTATATCTGCTCTTTACCAGACTGGCTTTTATTTCTGGATATTTTCTTCTAGTTCTGATGTGGTACTTCATAAAACTTTTAGTTGACTCTGCTTGTGTGACTTTATTAGATGATTTTTTGTGCTGAAGGAAAAATCAGAAGCTAGCCGAAGAGAGGCAAAATGTCTTTATCTTGCTTCTACTATTCTGGGCACATCCAGTAGCAATAATTATGTTATGCTAGTTTTGTAATGGATATTAAGAGTGAAAAAACAGAATTAACATTATCCTAAAACATACTTTAGGGGACCAGATGATGAAATGGTTGTGCTATTGAATGCCCACATGGCTGACTATGGTTCAAGTCCCAGACCCAGAGACTTGAAACTCATGTTGGGTGCGTGAGCATGCTTGCCCCAAATCCTGAGGAGAATGAGAAGGGACTGTGGTGTGGGCATTCCCCCTGGGGGTGTGATTTCTCGCTTTCTCTCTCTCTGTGTCTCTGGCGTGTGCACGCACCCTATAGCAAAAATCTCTCTTAAAAAACCACACACACATTCTTTATAGTTACTGTTTTACAGGTTTTCAATCTTATAAACATTTATTGGACATTTTTGATGAGTTGAGATGCCCTCTAATATATAAAATAAGTCAGTTTTATTATGATTTAATATTTTCCAGATGAAGGTAATGAAACTGAGGTGCAGCCACAACAAAATAGCCAGTTAATGTGGAAGCAAGGTCGACAGTTACTCAGACAGTAAGTATCCCCATGTCAAACTTACAAATGGCTAAAGATGAAAAATGTTTTCATGAGATTATTTTTATTTTGTATTTTCAACTCAAAAGAGTGGTTTTATGTCTTACATTATTTCTACTTCTGTGAAAAAATTGAATTACCGTTCTCTTTTCATATTAAAATCTTTCCCTGGGGAACCAGCAGGTGGCGTGGTGGTTAAGGTGCTGGACACTCCCACATGACTGACCATGGTTCAAGTCGACCTGGCAGCTTGCTTTCTCATCCTTTCTCTATCTCTCTGTCTCTCTGGTCAAATTAAATTAAATGAATAAATAAAATTAAATACTTAAAAAAAACTTTCCCTGTGGCAGAATTTTATAGTTAAAAGAATCCTATACCCTTATTGTTTCAAGGACTTTTTTTTTTTTAATCTAAATATGTTATTGGGTACTTGGGCTCCCTGGAGAGAGACAGAGAAAGAGAGAAAGTGAGAAAGCACCCCCAAGTGGGAGATGGCCACGCTGCAGACATTTCTCCGCCATTCTCCTCTCGGATTTTGAGTGTGCATGCACGCTCAACCAGAGTGTTTTTTAAGCTGCTAGGTCTGGGACTTGAACTATGCAGTTGGCCATGTGGGATCTAAATGCCTTAATTATCATGCCACAAGCTGCCCACATTTTATTTATTTATTGCTAGAGGGGGTGTACTTGCCAGAGAGTGATAGGAAAAAGGAGAGGGGAAAAAGCATTGCTCACCCTGGGGCATGGTCATGCCACAATCCCTTACCCTCCATTTTTCTATACTATCTGGATTTTGGGCATGTGCACATACATGCAAGCATATGTACTTGGCTTGTTTTTCAATCTGCCAGGGCCGGGATTCACATGAACTGTAGTCAACCATGCGTGATCCGACTCCCTTAACCACCAGCTCAAAGGGCTGGTCCTAGCCTTTTTTATTTTAGATAGATTGAAATATTTCTTGAATTCCCCAAATTTGCAGATATTATCTAGTATATTTGAGAGTATAAAGCAGACACAAAGTTGGATGGAGGTTCTTCTGTCAAGTGGTAGACTAGACCCACTTATCAACTCAGTGATTGGTCTCTATTTAAGACCTTTATAACTGGTATTTAGATTTGTGCTCCAGTAGAATGAAATTTGCTACCTGTTTAGAACTTTTGGGGTGACTTGTGAATAGTATAAACCTAAAGTGTTCAAAGTAGATTCATGTTAGCCATTGCTTTTGACTGCAGGAAGTGTATTTTGTTTTGTTTTGTTTTTCTTTCCTTTTTTTTTTTTTTGGAGAGATTTTTTCGCTATAGGGCATGTGCACTTGCCAGACAGACAGAAAGAGACAGAAAGACAGAAAGCAAGAAATCACCCCCCAGAGGGGATGGTCACACCGCAATCCCTTCTCCTCCATTCTCCTCTCGGGATCTTGGGCATGCACACACACGTGCCCTGCGTGAGTATTAAGCCACTGGGTCCGGGACGCGAACCGTGGTTGACTACGTGGGAGTCCAGTGACATAGCCATTATGCTAACAGCTGGTTCCCTTGTTTTTTATTTTTGTTGTAGGGCTTGTGGGATCCAATACCTTAAACTCCATGCCTCCTGCTGGCCTGGGAAGAGAATATTAAAACTTTTCTTCAATATAGACTTTTTAACTAGACAAAGTTAGGTGAAAATGTGACTTTACTAATATTTAATAAGTGAATTTTGACTAGTGTTCTCACTTTAGTCTTAATTATGACAATGCACTTTTTTTTTTTTAAAGAAAGAGGTGTTCTCAAAATGCTGATTTTTTTTTTAAAAGGGGAAATGATTTCATAATAAGCTATCCAAGAGGTGTTTTTTAATCCTTAAAAGGCCCACAATCTTCCCTTGTGAGTAAAAGTGGCATTTTATCAATGAATGAAGAAATAAATAACTATTTAGTAAGACCAACTTAGGTATGGGAAAGGCAGTTTTGAAGCTTATTTATAATGTTATTTTATTGTTTAAGCAAAATATGTATCATGTATTATTTATTAAGAAAACACTTATAGTAGTTTTTTTTTTTGGAGAGGTTTTTGCTATAGGGCACATGCGCTTGCCAGAAAGACAGAGACAGAGAGACAGAAAGCGAGAAATCACCCCCAACACGGGATGGCCACGCTGCAATCCCTTCTCCTCCATTCTCCTCTCAGGATCTTGGGCATGCATGCACACGCGCCCGGTGTGAGTTTAAGCCACCAGGTCTGGTACGTGAACCACGGTCGACTATGGGAGTCCAGCAACATAGCCATTATGCTAATTGCTGGTCCCACTTGTAATAGTTTTTAAGAACAGATGATTCAGTTCAGGACAGTTGGAAATATATTACCTAAATTTTAATCAAACCTTCCTATAAATGTTGGATAGAATTGAAAAATGAGCATTTGGTTTAATAAGATACCCTTATTCCATTTGATCCTATATCTTTGTGAGCTATCTCTTTCAGCTCTAATAGCTATTAAAGTTAAATCTTGGAATAAACTGAACTTAAATGGGTTGTCTTGTCAACCTTTGTTTCTTCTTCCATCTGGTAGGTAGCAAGAGTTAATTCCTAACATTTGTCTATCATGTTTATTGCATTTGCCTTTTTCATGGTCTTGCACTGCCACTTTTGGTCTTTTTTTGGTCCAAGTTTGGTATTAATGGGTATTTAATGCTTTCTATATTCCAAGTTTGTCTTTTAGGGGAAAAATTGAGGTTCAGGAGAATTAAAATTACACAGAAAGTAAGTGGCATAATGGGATTAAGACCAGTTCAAACTCTCAGTACACAGCCTGTGTCCTTTTTTGGGAGCATCTGCACATGTGTACAAACACTCAGCATTCCACAGTTGTGTGTGTGTGTGTGTTTTGTTTTTTGGTTTTATTTTGAGAGAGATTTTTGCTACAGGACGTATGTCCTCATTGGAGCGAGAGAGAGAGACAGAAAGTGAGAAATCACTCCCCAGGAGGGATGGTCACATTGCAGACCCTTCTCCTCCATTCTCCTCTCAGGATTAGGGACACATATGCACATGGGCCCTGCGTGAGTTTTAAACCTCTGGGTCCAGGACTCAAACCGCAGTTGACTATGTGGGAGTCAAGCAACGTAACTGTTATGCCATCTGCTGGTCCCAACATTCCACAGTTTAATTGCAGTCCATTTTCATTTTTGAGTGGTCTCAGGATAGAGGCTTCTTTCCTGGGGACCAGCAGATGGCATAATGGTTATGTCACTGGACTCCCATATAGTCGACTACAGTTCAAGTCCTGGACCCAGCAGTTTAAAACTCACTCTGGGTATGTGTGCGTGTATGCCCAAAATTCTGAGAATGGAGGAGAAGGGATTGAAATGTGGCCATCCCTCTGGGGGGTGATTTCTTGGCTTTCTGTTGCTCTGTCTCTCTTTGTCTCTCTGGCGAGGACATGCATCCTATAGGAAACATCTCTCAAACAAACAAAAATAAGGAGCTTCTCTTCTGAAGAAGTCATTCCAAAGAAACTACTATCTTATATGTATTTCATGGAGGAAACCATATATGCTAAAAAGATTCTCTCTATAACAATTGATCCATGATGCTATACATTAGAAATATAAAAATATAAAACTTATTGCAATCACTGTTATAAAATAGTAATTTGGTAGAATCTTGAGTGTGAGCTTGCTCCAATCCTGCCCAAAGGAAAGACTGTGTGATTAGATATATTAAGGAACAGCTCTGCTTAGGACAGATGTAATGAATGGTGTATTGTACAGTTCTTTGATTTTTCTCAGTGACTGGAGTGACTGGTACAGCAAGAGACAGCTCTATGTGCAGCTGGAAGGCCACTCATTAGCAAGCCTTACTAGCACAGTACTATACTGTGAAGCCTTACGCAGGCAAGTGATTGTCGTTGTGTATGAAATTGTAGAATACGGATTCCAGTATGACTGAACTGTAAGGATTCTTTTTACACAGGTACCTACAGGAGGTGGGTTACACAGATACGATTCTTGATGTGAAATCTAAACGAGTGCGGGCTTTGTTGGGCTTTTCAAATGATGGCACTGACAGGGAAGATGACAAAAATCAGGATTCAGTTATAAATGGCACTGAGGCTGAAGTTAAAGAGACAGCAATGATTGGGTAAGTATTTGGAAAGTCATCTTAGCTCTACCCTAGTTCTTACTAATTTTTTTTTTGGGGGGGGTTGGGGGAACTTGCACTTTTAGATAATGATAATAGAAATAATTTAATTATAAATAAGTTCAATAAAAATTTTAAATTGGTTACAAGGCAATACGTAAAATTGAAGTTTTCTGATTATTTTAACTCAAACGTATACTTTTTGTTTAGTATATTTTTATTTATCTAGAATCTGTGTATTTAATATGGATTTTAATATCTTGAAACTCAGTCACTTAATATTAGAACTTCATAGAAGTTTTTATTTGGAAATTCAGTGTAATTTTGAACCAATGAAATTTTATTGTTGGAGATGCAGGAATCATAAAAATACCCCATATTCTTTAGAAATAACCCTTTTCTTAATACTTTTGTTTACATAATAGTTTAACTCTTTGATACAAAATGTCTAAAGTATAAATGCTTTAATTGATAGAATACATGTGAGAAATTCAATAACTAAAGTATTTTGCTTTCCTTGTGGATCATATAGAAGTATATATATATATATATATATACCTCTACTTAAAGTGAACATGAGGAATTTAATGAGATTCTTTATTGGAAAAAATTTTGTCATGATTTTTAATTGAATAAAAAGCCAAAGATTCTGTGAAAATCTAAATATAATGTTCTTTATTTGAACATGTTTATGCTGGAAAATGGTTTTAATTGAACTCTATAAAATTTGCTAGTGAGAATACACTTTCTGTTTGGAACATGGAAAATTCAAAGTAGTACTTTTATAAACAATTGTAATTAGACCATTCTTAAAGGAACTCATTAATAAGTAAGAATATATTAGCTCATATTTGTTAATGTATAGATTTTTCAAAAATAAATGTAGATAAATCATGTGGGCATCATTCCTTTTTTTTTTTTCTTTTTCTCTTTTTAAGGTTTTTGTGCATGCGCTCACTGGAGTGAGACAGAGCAAGTGAAAGGGCAAGTGAGAAATCACTCCTGGAGAGAAGGGGATGGCCATGCCACAATCCCTTCTCTTCCATTTGCTTCCTGGGATTTTGGGCATGCATGCACATGTGCTTGGGGTGATTTTTAAACTGCTGGGTCTGGGACTTGAACCACGGTCTGTTATATGGGAATCCAGCATCTTAACCACCATGCCACCTCCTGGCCCCCTTCTGGTTATATTTTTATCTATGGATTAACTTAAATCATTAAATTAACTTAGATACTATAAATATTTTTTAGGGACTGTAATGTATTCTTTTAAAACCTTAAGTAAAGGCCTTCAGAGGAGACCACCCTACTGGGCATTTTAGCCTTGACATGTCTTTTGAAACTAACAATGGTCAGCTGAATCTGTTAAATTTCTGTTGGGATAGAGCATGGGGGTGGGGGGGCGGTGTCAAGAACATAACTCTCAGTAGATATGAAATTTAATCTGTTCTGAAAATTTTGTTTATAGTTGTAGCTACATTTTTTTTTAGGAAATTGTCCTACTTAAAACACTTTCTATTGAACTACAAAGAAGCCATTCTGTTCTAGCTGTTAGGAAACTGATGACTATTTTGAGGAAGTTAAATTCAAAGTCTTATATATTTGAAAATTCAGTCATTTTTAAGATATTAATTTATTCATCAACAGAAGTTTTATAATGTTAATTTGATTGTTACAGTGTTTTAGCATCTTTATCAGTACAATTTGCTCTTTTCACCTCTTATGCTATTTAGCAGAAATACAAAATTGCATCAGAAAAAATTGATAAGAGGTCAAAGGAAAAAGCTATAGAGAGGAAAAAGAATAGAGAAAAGTGAAGGCAAAGATAAGAAAAAATATATATAGTAAATATATAGTTGTTTTTTTTTTTTTTTAAGAGAGATTTTTGCTAGAGGACACATGCGCTTGCCAGAGAGACAGAAAAGTGAGAAATCACTCCCCTGGTAGATGGCCACAGCACAATCCCTGCTCTGCCATTCTCCTCTTGGTATTTAGGGCATCATACACACATACCTGGTGTGAGTTTTAAGCTGCTGGGTCTGGGACTAGACTACGTGGGAGTCCAGTGACATAACCATTATGCCATCTCCTGGTCCCAAGGGGCAGAATTCTTTATGTTAAAAGCTAAACTGATAAGATTTTTACTTTAGAAAGGGAGATTGTTTCCCATACTGCTTTTGCAATTAATTCATGAAAATGTAATATATAAGAATCAATGTAGATCATAGTATGATTCGGGAATCATAGTTAAAAAATAAATAGAAGTTATGGCGATAAATCATGGGCTAATTCTCATGTTGAAGTTTAAAAGATGAACTAAATAGCATGTATGTGTTTAAAACAGAAAATCCGAGTTAACAGATTCTGCCTCTGTACTGGATAATTTCAAATTCCTTGAAAGTGCGGCTGCAGATTTCAGTGATGAAGATGAAGATGATGACATTGATGGAAGAGAGAAAAGTGTCATTGATACTTCAACGGTGAGTTTGGTAACTTAGATAATAGAAATAATTTGGGGACTGTAATGTACTCCACCCCCCCCCAGAGAATTGTTTATTTATTTTTATTTGTTAGCATTTTTTAATTTGAGCTGACAGAGAGAAAGGGAAAGTGACAAAGCAAGCCGCCAGGTCCAGGACTCAAACTGCCATGCAGGACTCCATTGCCTTTAACCACCATGCCACCTGCTGGCCCCTGTAATGCACTCTTTCAAGATAATTTGTGTCCTTCAATCTGTACCCGTAACTATTTTTTTTCCTCACATGAATTAGCAGAAATAGAATCTAAGAGGTTTTAGTATGGATTTCACCAGAAAGCATCCCTGACAGTCACTTTTCCTCTCTTCTCTTCTTGGGATTTTCGGCATACACACGTGTGTACCTGGACATTCCAGGTCCAGGACTCTCAACATGCAGTAACCCATGTTGGATCCAGCTGTCTGCCTGAACCACCATGCCACTCACTGTCCCAACTATCATCTTCATTCTGTCTCTGTTTTTCTTTCTCTCCCCTTTTTAAGTAAGAGATGACGATATACTTTGTTTTGTCCTGGAAAACATTTCCATTTCATCTTTTTTTTTTTCAAAAGAATTATTTTATTTTTTATTATTATTATTTAAAATTTGCAGTAAGGCACATGCACTTGCCAGAGAGAGAGAGAGAGAGAGAGGGAAACTGAGAAAACAAGCTGCCAGGTCTGAGACTCAAACCGTGGTCAGTGATTTGGGAGTCCAGCACTTTAACCGCTATGACACCTTGTGGCTCCCTGCATTTCATCTTTCATGTTTGTTTAAGAATAAAAAAGAGAACAGTAAAGTAAAATAAAGCAAATTTGAAATTACAGTTAAAAAGCCTGGGTTTAGGGACCAGCAGTTAGCGTAATGGCAATGTCACTGGACTCCCATGTAGTTGACTGCGGTTCGCGTCCCGGACCCAGTGGCTTAAAACTCACGCCAGGCGCGTGTATGTAAGTGCCCAAGATCCCAAGAGGAGAATGGAGGAGAAGGGATTGTGGCATGGCCATCCCCCTGGGGGGTGGATTTCTTGCTTTCTGTCTCTCTGTCTCTGCTTGGTGAGCGTACACACCCTATAGCAAAAACCTCTTTAAAAAAAAAAAAGCCTGGGTTTAAAATCCTATTTCTTTTACTAATTATGCTTCTTAATGCTTTAGGCTCTGTTTTTTAGTTTGTAAATGGGGATTATAATAAGCGCCTGTTTTGGGGGCCCGCAGGTGTCATCACGATTAAGGCGCTGGGCACTCCCACATGGCCAACCATGGTTCGAGTCCTGAACTGGGTAGCTTTCTTTCTCTCTCTCTCTCTGTGTGTGTGTGTGTGTGTGTGTGTGTGTGTGTGTGTATGTGTGTCTGTCTCTGGTCAAATTAAAATAAATGAATGAATAAGTAATAATAAATAATTATTAAAAAAATTATAATAAATATCTGTCTTACCCTGGAGGATTTTGTGAGGAACTAAAGAGACACTATATGTGAAAATTATATGTTGAAGTATAAAGTGCTTCCTAAATATAACTTCTCTATTTGTTTTTTTATTTGTTTCTGATCACTTTATTATTTTTTTCTTTTTATTATTTTTTTTGTTTTTTTACCATAGGGTGTGTGCCAGAGAAAGAACAGAGAGGGAAAGTAAGAAATCAACTCCCAGGGGAATGGCCATGCTGCAATCCTTTTTTCTCCATTACCAACCTGGGATTTTGGCCATGCATACATACATGCCCAGAGTGATTTTCAAGCTGCTGAGTCTGGGACTTAAACTTGTGGGCACTTAAAATAGTCCAGGAATAAGGTTTGGTTAGATCATGGTGTTTTGTTTTGTTTTGTTTTTGAGAGATTTTTGCTATAGGGCATATGTGCTCACCAGAGAGACAGAGAGTGACAGAGAGAGAAAGCAAGAAATCACCCACCAGGAAAGGAAGACCATACCATAATCCCTTCTCCTCCAGTGTCCTCTTGGGAATTTGGGCATGCATGCACACGCACCCAACATGAGTTTTAAGTTACCAGGTCTGGGACTTGAACCATGGTTGACTACATGAGAGTCCAGTTATGTAACTGTTATACCATCTACTGGTCCCAGATCATGATATTTTTGTTTTGCATGAAGTGAAGAAGCTGAAATCCGGAGAAGTTGAGATATGTTGTCATTTAATTGAAAGAAGTTGCAAACCAGTCATTCTAATTGTGGAAGTGACCATAAAGGTCATAATTCGTCAAGAGCATAGGTATATAGGTGTCAGAAATCATCTCTGCATTAATTAAGCTTCAGTTTTAATCTTCCAACTTGATTGTGACTCCAGATATATTCCTAAGTGTATAAAAATGAGGCATAACAGCCCTTGTCAGATTTCCTATTAAAACTTAGTTAAGTCTCACTCTAAAAGATCAGTATTTTAGGAAAAAAAACTTTTCTGTATGAAGAACTATTTGATAAAACTGATAAAAGGTCAGGACAGTAGAAATAGTAATGGCAACATAACAAGAGTAGCTTATACATCTTGAGGCATGTGTTTCTCAGTTTTCACTTTTGTTATTTAGGTCTTGCTGGGTGGTAATGTAGTTCTATTAAAAGTTATTGTGACTACATTCTGAAAAATTCTTAAAATCTTTTTTTGAAGTGTCTTTTCTTTAGGTTATACTTTAACGTCTGCAAACTGCACAGATTGCATCTAAGACATAAAAGATTTGGTTGAGGTTCTCATATTGGGTTGTCAGAAAAGTCATGATGTATTTTCCAATGCAAAAATGTGTCATGACTGGGGATCAGCAGTTAGCGTAATGGCTATGTCGCTGGACTCCCACGTAGTCGACCGTGGTTTGCGTCCCGGACCTGGTGGCTTAAAACTCACGCCGGGCGCATGTGCGTGCGTGCCCAAGATCCCGAGAGGAGAATGGAGGAGAAGGGATTGTGGCATGGCCATCCCCTCTGGGGGGTATTTCTCGCTTTCTGTCTCTCTGTCTCTCTCTCTGTCTGTCTGGCGAGCGCACGTGCCCTATAGCAAAAACTTCTCAAAAAAAAAAAGAAATGTGTCATGACTTTCCTGACCACCCAGTAGTATGTCAGGGACATATTTCTCTTATCTGTAATTCAAATACATTTCTTAAATTTCCGTAATTTTGGTATATGTTGCCATTAGCTTATTTCAAAACAAACCATCATACCATTGAAAATTACTCCTTTGAGGTGTATTAGGTTATCAGAAAAGTCATGATGTATTTTTCTAAGCTAAAATGCCTCATGGCTTTTCCAACAACCCAATATAATATATATATTTTTCTTTTTTTTTTTAATAGATTTTTGCTATAGGGCGTGTGTGCTTGCTAGAGAGACAGAGAGAAACAAAGCAAGAAATCACTCCCTCCCCCTTCCCAAGGGGGATAGCCATGCCACAATCTCTTCTTTCAGGATTTTGGGCACATACACACATGCGCCCAGCATGAGTTTTAAGCTGCCATGTCCAGGACTCAAATTGTGGTTGACCATGTGGCACTCCAACAACATGACCATTACACCATCGGCTGGTCCCATAATATATATATATATTTAAAACTGTTTCTTACTTAAGTTTTACAGCTTAACGCAATGACTATGTACTTTTTGAAAAAGATAATTGAGTTTTCTCATTCAGTGGCATGGGGATACCATCTCCTTTATTTAAATTAATATCCCTAATCTACCTAAATATTTTAATTTAGCATGTTTTTCTATTAGATTGTTAGGAAAAAGGCGTTGCCTGATAGCAGTGAAGATCGAGATACAAAAGAAGCTCTCAAGGAGTTTGACTTCTTGGTTACATCAGAGGAAGGAGACAATGAATCTAGAAGCGCAGGCGATGGAACTGACTGGGGTAAGGAAGCATACTGGATTCAATCAGAGATGTTAAGTAAATAAAAGAAATTAATATTTTACCAGCAGAGCAACTATAATGTTGAAATGCTAGATGCTATGAACTTTTTCTTACTCTCACCTTTTATCCTACGTGTGTGTGTGTGTGTGTGTGTGTGTGTGTGTGTGTGTGTGAGGAAGGTCGTATTGCTGTTATCTCACTTTTTTTCCCTAATATAAGCAAAACATTATGAAAATAACTTAAATTAGTCAACATAATCTCTATTTTCTGCTTAGACGATAGAAGTTGCAAATCTAGATTTTGTGGACTTCAAGTATGGGACCATAATAGAAGATTTTATAGAGCTCATCTCTGTTACCGTCTATGCAAAAAAAATATAAGTTAGAGAACTGTAGTCATTTATTCTAGTTTAGGTTTTGACGGTTTGTACAATGCATAGTTATTGTTTTTTATTATTGCCAGAGGGCACATAGGTTCCCCAGAAGGAGAGAGAGAGAATGCTGCAATGCATGGGGTGTGGTCCTATTGCAATCCTTTTTCTTCTGTTAGTCCATCTAATGAGGTTTTTGGGCACACACAGGCACCTGACATGTTTTTCAAGTCACTGGGCTTACAGGATTCAAATCTTTTTCAGCCAGGTTGTATCTGACTCCTGGCTTAACCATTGTGCTGTGGGCTGGCCACATTTTTTTTTTTTTAGAGGGAGGTCAGGGAGGGTTGTTTAGATTATTCTAAATGAATCTGATACTTTAGTCACAAGTTAATATACGTACCTTGGGGAAGTTTTCAACATAGCTCAGTCTAGTACTTTGGAAATGCACTGTTACTATCAATAAGGTAGGGTTGTGATAAAATTTTCAAAAGTATTCAAACTATTAATTTTTCCTTGGGCTTTTTTTGGGGGTCCGACTTAAGACATGTTAAACTTTTTTTTTTTTTTTTTTTTGGAGAGGTTTTCGCTATAGGATGCGTGCGCTCGCCAGACAGACAGAGAGAGACAAGAGAGACAGAAAGCGAGAAATCACCCCCCAGGGGGTATGGTCACACCGCAGTCCCTTCTCCTCCATTCTCCTCTTGGGATCTTGGGCACGCACGCACACGCGCCCGGCGTGAGTTTTAAGCCACCGGGTCCGGGATGTGAACTGCGGTCGACTACATGGGAGTCCAGCGACATAGCCATTACACTAACTGCTGGTTCCGACATGTTAAACTTTAATAAATAAAATTCTGAATTCTAGTTCTGCTATAACCTTATAACTTCCTACTTTCAGATTTTTTTAACCATTAAGCAACATTCTAAGGATATTTCGTCTTCGTTTTTGGAGTTGTGTTTTATACTGTGCCCTATATATTTTATATAAAACAAGATTGCACAATTACCTCATGGAGGATTTAGGGCTCAGGCTTTCCAAAAACTAAGTATACTGGGAAAAAGTAATGACAGAATCTTTCTGTTCAGCTATCCTGACATACTAATTATTGGTCTCCTGTTTTTAATCACCAGATCTAGGGACCAGCAGTTAACCTAATGGCTATGTCGCTGGACTCCCATGTGGTCGACCATGGTTCGCGTCCCGGACCTGGTGGCTTAAATTCACACCGGGCGCGTGTGCGTGTGCGCCCAAGATCCCGAGAAAAGAATGGAGGAGAAGGGATTGTGGCTTGGCCATCCCCCCGGGGGGTATTTCTTGCTTTCTGTCTCTCTGTCTCTCTCTGTCTTCCTGGCGAGCGCATGTGCCCTATAGCAAAAGCGTCTCCAAAAAAAAAAATTACCACATTACATTAAGACTCATTTAGAAAGGATTAGGGCATTTTTTGCTTCTTTGAGGTAAAAGTAATAAATGTTTTTCCCTTTTTTGAAGTACAGAGCATATTTTGCATTTTTTAGGTATATGACTTCTGTAGTTTCCACACATTCAGGGTTGGATATGACTAAATCTTTTACAGGCTTATTAAATAATAAATGAAAGTGGAACTTACTCATGTGTTAATTTACTAAACATTTTGACAAACGGTTCTCTTGTATTTAACCTGTTTTAAAATTAGACATTATTTAGCATTCTTTAGCTTTTAGCTGAGAAATTTTTGCTACATTTTTCTGCCACCACGAAGTTAAAGTCCTATGTACAAAATATAAGATACTGTATCCTATAATTTGATAAACTGATTTACTTTACCAAAAGATTGTGCTTTGGCATAGGAGAAAGGTAAGAAGCAAATCCATGGAAGGTTAAATTATTTTCATTACTCTATTTTGAATTAGTTTATAATTCAAGATGCATTTGGTTTTGCATCTGAGAAAAGTTGTTTGCAAGTTTCTAATAGCTCTCAGTGGAAATTTAGAATGTATTGATTTGTAAATTGGTAAATTACATTTAGTTGTTTAAATACAAATTCATAGCATTGTAATTGTGGCTATATGGAGATCTTAGTTAAAATATACTAAAGTATTGATGAGAATAATTGGAACTTTAACATTAAAATTTCTAATTTTTGTTAAATTTAAATAATATATTGATCTTTTTGTCAATCTTTGAGAATTTTAGCTAAGACAAATTACACTGGACAATATTATGAACAAATCTTGTTTTAAAAAAGTTTGTTGTTGGATATTGGTAGACATGGTACATGTTAGAATTATTTTTTTACTATGAATTTTTTTCACTTTAATTCAAGCTGCTACTTTAAATATAGATTGCAGTATTCTTTCAAGAACTAAATGTGTTATTGAATGATATATTAGTTAAAATGTAAACTTTAGTGATTTGGTATAGAATAAGTTTTAAAAATTAGATCTGTATATGAAAAATAAATATCGGTAAGGGTGTCTTGGCTCTCAGTTAAATATATGGCTACATGTATATACATATAACTGTTACAAATATTCTGAGTTTATATTTAAACTGTTATGGAACTGGCTCTGTAGCTTATTAGTTAAGGGAGTCAGATCCCATATGGCCTAACATAGTTTGAATCACAGCCCTGGCAGCTTGGAAAACATGCCAGGTATATGCGCATGCTTGCCCCAAATCTCAGCAGCATGGAGAAATGGAGAAGGGATTGCAGCAAGACCATGCCTTATACAGGAGGATGGTAGGTGGGGAGGGTGGTGGGTGGCGGCTTTGGGACAGTTCTTCCCCCCCACTCTGGTGATTGCTTGTGCCCTCTGGCGATTAAATTTTTTTTAATGAGGATACTTAGGATGTGACTTGAGGTTTGTGTTGCTTTCTACCCATTGAAACTAAAGAACATTTGATAGATTGTTTCAGTAGGCCCTTTTGGCCTAATATTTGTGCAAACATTTATTTTTTGAGATAATGTAATGTTGCTGATTATTTTGATATTATTTCACATTTATCTTTATAAAAACTTCCACTGAGTTGTCTTAAAAGATGAACCATAGTTTCTTATTTGAATAGGTGTTATTTAGTATTTTGTCATAAAGGTCAACATGACACAAAATTATTTCATAGAATTGTGTATTATGTAGATGTGAATACCCCATATTAGAAACTTTTCATCTACTTTTATGCAACAAGCTACTTTAAATAATACATTTTAATATGCTTTCATGAATTAGAACACAGATTGTAAAATTAGAACACAGATAATACTTCTGTCCAAATGTTAGTGTATTTTATTTTAAAATCAGGAATGTTTTTAACATTTTAGTTACAAACACTAAAAATACTAATTTAACCCTAATTTTTTGTATATTTCTTCTCTGAAGGAAATATAAAAGAATTCTAAAGCCAAAAGGAAAAAAATATGATACTTTTTCCTTCTCTCATTCGTGTTAAAATTTTTGTTCAAATTTTCCTCCTTCATACTTCCTTGGTCATTATATAGTGACTGATAAGAAGACTGTCTTGGGTAAGTTCAAGGAAAAGGTTGCCTAATATTTTTAATAAGCAAAAACAGATTTTTTGTGTCCTTTTTTTTCCCACCTGCAACACTACACAATGAAAATAATTTGTGATTGCCTCAAGGAAAGAAAAGTTCTCTGTAAATTGTGCACATTTTCAGCAGTGCAGTGTCTGTAATAGATAATATTCTGCTGATTTTTCTGATAGACCTCAGCTCCCCTCACTTATCAGAAACCTTTATAATGTTGGTGGCATTTTTTGATTCTTTTAATGACATTTCCTGTTGGAGTGTTAGGTAAGTTACTAGCATATTCTTTGCTTTATTGGCACTTTCCATGAGAGGAGGAAATTGACTGTACTTCTGCCAGTTGGTAGGTTCCTTTCCCTCAGAATCATTAAAAAATAATTTTCTGATGCAGTGATATTTGCAGTATTAGCTTATAACCATAGCACACAGTAGATATTTCATCTGCCTTTACTTTTTCTTAAATTCTATGCATTTGTCATTAATGTAGTTACCTTTTTAAGATCATATCTTCAGGGACTGTTGTGTCAACAGTGCCACTCTTTTTCCTTTTTTTCTGGCAAATGCTTGAAGAATTAATATGACAGTTTAATCATCAAAGAATACAGTGGCTTTCTTGTGACTGACTATTCTTTCAGGAGCACAAAGTTTGGAAATCAAGAGGAAGTTACAGTGAAACAGATTGCCTATCTTACTCCCCACAGAGCTGATACAAGGGGACTTCATACCAAGTTACTCAGATACATTAGGCAACCATTCCACCAGGAGAGCTAGATCCCACTGTGCTAACCGAGTGCTTTTTCTGAGGAATCACACATTCTCATAGATCCCAGTTGGCCCTCTTCATTGCCAGTCTTATTGCAGGGATACTTCTGCTTAGTTTTTCTCCAAGGACAACTGCACTGTCCCTTTTATAACTTCCTTATTTTAATATGTGAGTCGTGGTCCCAGTGTATTATGTGATCCTTGTGTGTGCATTTTAATTTTAACCTAACTGGTATGAGGTAACCGGTGAAAACAAGTGATTGTTCTCCCATCTGAGTTGTCGCACCCTTTAGTATACTAGATCTGTTAATGAGTACCAGGGAATAGAATCTTTCAGCTGACTGGAGTCTGGCCTTGTGTGTTTTAGGAATTTTAGAATTTAGATTCGAAGCACCGGATGTTTAATGAATGTTTAGTTGAATGGATGTATAAAGCATTGCAAATGTTCCATGGCTCTTTGACGCCACCCTCTCAGGAAAGAGTCAACATGCATATACTAAGAATCTGGCAAATAGATTTTACAAATCTTCCATTATTGTTATGAGTCTAGGAAGATTATGATAAGGCTAAATTTTTACTTCAAAAAACAATGCCATTCCAGGATTCCAAAGCCAATCAGTTTAATTTATTATTTTTTTAAAAAATAATTATTTATTTAATTCCATCTGTTAGTATTATTTTTAGATCTGACCAGAGACAGAGAGAGAGAGAGAGAGAGAGAGAAAGGGAAAGCAAGAAAGTAAGCTGCCAGATCCAGGACTCGAATCGCGATCAGCTGTGTGGGAATCCATTGCCTTTAACCACCATGCCACTTGCCAGCCTCTTAATTTATTATTACTAACTGATTGGTGAAAATGAACATTTTATTGAGAGTTTTTTTGCTACAGGGTGCCTGTGCTTGCCGGAGAGATAGACAGAGAGACAAAGATACAAAAAGCGAGAAATCACCCACCAGGGGAGATGGCTACACTACGATCCCTTCTCTATTCTCCTCTCAGGATTTTGGAAACACATTCACATGCACCTGGCATGAGTTTCAAGCTGCTGGGTCCAGGGCTTGAACCATGGTCAACCATGTGGGAGTCCAGTGACATAATGATTATGCCATCTGCTGGTCCCCAAAATTAACATTTTTATTGTTACCTCTTTCTGGAAAAATAAAGACTTCCTACTATTGATAGATTATAGTTAGTTACTTTTTTTTTTTAATAAGATTTTTTACTATTAAAATGCATACATCCACCAGAGAGAGAGACAGAGAAAGTGAGAAGTTACCCTCCCCCCCAGAGGGAATGGCCACACCACAGTCGCTTCACCTCCATTCTTTGAATTTTGGGCATGCATGCACATACACCTGGCGTGATTTTCAAGTCACAGCATCTGGGACTTGAATCATGTAGTCAACAGTGATTTACTCACCTTCACATCTGTGTCACCTATTGGTCCAAAATTTTTTAGTTTTTAAAGATTGTTTTTAACAGTGTTTATTCAATGACCAATTAATAATTTTTAAAGTTGAATTGAAGCTTAAATAGTTTAAAAATAGATTTCTGGTTCTTTTCAGTTTATTCCAGTCATTCACATGCATCGGCAGGGGAGAGGGGAGAAAGAGAGAGAAAGCAATCCCCAATGGGGCTTGGTCATGTTGCAGTCTTTCTTCTTCCATTTTTTCATCCCATCATGATTTGGGGCATTCGTGCACATAAAACCCAGTGCTTTTTCTTTTCTTTTCTTTTTTTTTTTTTTAAGCCATCAGGGCTGGGATTTGAACTGTGTTAGCCATGTGGGATTTAGTTTCCTATGCACAGTGTTTAACTGCTGTGCTATGGAGCCAGACCACTCAAGAATGCCGATCTAGTGTTTTTTTATGTGCCAGGTCTTCTAGTTGAAGATTCCTACTCCTGTAGTACTTATAAGAGTACTAAGAGTATATAGACAATAGGCAGTAGACATAATGAAAGATAATGTCAGAAGGTGATAAACGCTATAGAAAATAGAAAAAGTAGAATAGGGTAAGGGAGATAAGGATAGCTGAGGTCGAGGTGGTGTGGAGAGGGCAGGTTACAGTGTGAAATAGGATGGCCATTGCAAGCACAATTGAGAGGGGTGCATTGAACAGAAGACTTGAAGACAAGGGAATTGACCATGTGGTATCTGGGGATGGAATGTTCAGGAAGAAGGTCAGGGCAAATGTCCTAAGAGAGCAGCAGCTCTGATATCTCGATGATGTGAAGGAAGCCAGAGCAGCTGGGCCAGTGATTGTAGGGAGAATATAGTGAGAAATAACCAGAATGTGTTGAATCATGTATACCACTGACGAGATGTGGAGCCATGTAAGGGTTTTGAACAGAAGGGTGACGTAATTTGACGTTTACTTTAAAACATCACTCTGGCTGCTGTGTTGAGAATAGACCTGGCAACCAGGGTTTATAATAGACTTGCAGGGGACCAGTTATTGCAGTAATCCCAACAAGAGATTATAATATTTAGAGACGTAGAATGTGTGCTGAGAAGTCAGATTCTGGATATGTGTTTTGTTTTTTAATTTAACAAAGGGCATGTGCGCTTGCCAGAGAGAGGAGTGGGGTAGCGAGAAAGCATCCCCTTCCTCTCAAGGGGAATGGTCACCTTTCTCTTCCATTTCTCCCTCCTTTCAGGATTTTGGGCACTTAAACACATGTTCCCAGCATGTTGAACGTGTGGGATCCAGCTGCCTTAGTCACTAGGCCATGGGCCGGCCTCTGGATGGGTTTTGAATGTAGAGAAAACCATATTTCTTGAAATATTTGTTGTGGGGTAGGAAAGAAAGATATTTTTTGTCTGAGCAGATGGAAGTATGGAGTTGCCACTTAATGAAGTAGGGAACATCCAATCTGTTTCTGGATGTGGAGGGAGATCAGCAATTTACTTGTTTAGTCTGAGATTAGATTTTCTAATAAAATGTAGAGTGAGCAGTCGTATATACAAGTCTTGGGTTCAGGCTGTAGTGCCAAGATAACACATAACATTATATATAATATGTAAATTATTTTATAGTAAATAAACTATATATTGTAACGTTGTTACTCTTTAAATTTTCTTTTTCTGAAATTGGTTATATAATTTTTTTTCTACTGGAAGCTCAGTTTCCTGTTTCAAGAATTTACAAACTAACACATCTCTTAAATTGTTTTAAATTTTGAATAGTTTGGTTAGTAAATTTTACAAATAAATTATATATATAGCTTTTAAAATAAAAATTTTAATTTGCTGGTTAATACATGTCAAAATTATGGAACTTTTAAACTGAAGGATCATTATATACTGTTTTGTGTAATTTGTTAATAATCTTACCATGTAAATAGTGCAGTTTTTGGTGTATCAATTCCAATAGAAATGAGGTGAAAATGACAGGTTCTTGAGTCTAAACTATCTGGGCTTAGTTTACTAAAAATCACTAGAATTTTCCAGGTTTTTTTTTCCCTGTCTCTTTCAAGAGAAATGTATTATTAATATTACCTAGTAAAGAGAATTGATCATTGTCTCTTAGCTGTTCTGTGTGACTTAATGTATCTAATGAATAAACAATGACTCTTTTGTGAGTGATACTATGAAGAAGATGATTGTTATATCATTCAGACATGTTGATTTAGAGTGTTCAATATTTTATTGAAAAAGGCTATTTCATTTGTTTCACTCTTGTTTAGAAAAGGAAGACCAGTGTCTCATGCCTGAAGCCTGGAATGTGGACCAGGGAGTAATTACCAAACTCAAGGAACAATACAAAAAGGAGAGAAAGGGGAAAAAGGGGGTGAAGAGTAAGTGGAAAACATTGTATCTGTAAATCATAAATCTTGCCTCTTTCACATTCCCTAATTTTTTTTTTCAATGTTTTCCTAAAACTACTTACTCTTTTTCATTTCTGCTCCTGACCTCTTTC